GGAGAGGAGAGGAGAGGAGAGGAGAAAGGAAGGGGCAAAGGAAGAAAGGTCAATACCAGATGTGACCCCTAGACCTTGGATCTCTAGAAACATGAGCCAAAATAAACCTCTTTCCTTTAGAATTCATCCAGTCTGTGGTATCATATTACTGACACCAGAAAATAGACTAAAATGCCTCCTACTACTATACCACCACTTACCTCCCTAGAACATTCCTGCTTATAATCTGTACTTTTATCTCTAAGGGGATCCCTCACCTGGAACCAGCATGGGGAGTGGGGCAATAGTACTGTAAATACTTGTCCTCATCTCCTGGGGTTCACCTTTCATCCTGCCAACAGCTCCATTGCTCTCCTCTGGTCCAAACTCCTGGCTCAGGTCCAAAACTCAAGTAGGTTGCAGCTGCAGCTGGAGAGAAGAAAGGGGCTGTCTCTTAACCCTTGAGAACCTAGAATTTCAAAATTTGCTTTGGAGAGGAAGCATGGAAGCTATGGGAGGGAACGTAGGGCCAGGGCTGCAGGTTGTTAAGACACAGGACCTAGCTACTGAGGAGGTTGAGGTCTGAGGATTATAGTTCAAAGTCCATGAAACACTTCATCTCCAATTAACCAGCAAAAAAAGTTGGGAGTGGAAGAGTAGCTTGAGCAGTAGAGTACCAACTTTGAGCAAAAAGACAAGTGAGAGCACAAGACTCTGAGTTCAAATCCCATTACCAGCACACACACATACCTGCATGCACACACACACACACACATACACACACACACACACAGCTGAGAGCCAAGAGACTCTTACATATGCAGCTGAGAGGCAAAGTCTGTTGACTATTCCCTAGTGGGGGTAGAACTTGGGATTGGGTACCAGAAAATATCCTGGAGTTAATGGTCCCGCACACCAACCCCCACCCCAAGATCCTAGGCAGTGCCCTCCCATCCTCTAGAAACCAGTAAGGAACAGAGAAAGAGAATTTGGGCTGTAGTCTGAGTTCTCTAGGGGTCTGATCCAAGAGGCAACAGGAAGCCAGGAACAAGGAAAAGCACCCTACAGAGAATAGAGTAAGAAGACCAGAAGTGAGCTATGTCCAGGAAAGGTTAAGGCTAGGGAAAAGAGCATAAATGGGGCAGGAATTCAGGCCTGGTAGAGGTGAAAGGAGGTGCCTAAAACTGTCCCATTATCAAAGCAGAAAGTTTTCTCTATAAACTAATCCAGAGTGACCTCAACGTGATCCTCAGCTATCAGGCCTCTGAGAGGCCCTAGGTAAAAGGGTGCTGAAGTAAAGTAAGTTTGGGAAACACTGAATGCTCTCTCTGCCTCTCAGGACTCTCAATGCATATTTGCCATTGAAAGGTTCTGGTAGATTCCTGCATAAAACAATACTAATTCGTTTCCTGTTTTATCACAGCTTTTCCTCCCATAATGAATACCTACTCAGATTCACAAAGGAGATTTCCCATAAATGCTGAATTCCCACTCTACTACTGAGATCCTGAGTCTCAGAGAAGGGCAGGGATCTGCCAAGACAGATCTGCCAGAATGCAATCCAACCAAGTATCCTGTCCAAAGAACATCAAAGCCAGGAGAGTCCTGGAACCATCTAGTCCATCTCCACCCAATCTATAGATAGGGAGACAGGCTCCTACTCTCCCACTAGGCTCTAGTTTAACTTAAACTAATGCCCTGACTGCAGGCAGGCAAGCCCACCTAGTCGTCCGGAGTGACAGAGCCCACCGCAACGAAGTTGTTTAACAAAAAGCAACTTTATTGAGAGAGTTCCTACACTGACCAGCCAAGGTTGCAGCACAGGCTCGGGAGCTGACACTGCAACCCCGAGCGGCCCAATACTTTGGTTTTTAAAGGCAAAAATCTATGAGGTCGAACCTGGTCATGTGCAGGTGACCAATGGGATTGTAAAACACACAAAGGATTGTACAGTCATACCAGACCACACGCAGGTGGCCAATGAGGTTACAGTTTGTCTGTAGTGGCTGTTTAAACCAGCCTAACACTTTGGTTTAAAATGGCATGCAAATTTAGTGGGGCAAAAGATGGGGTTTACTGCAAGCAGGTGGTGTTGCCAATTGAGCAAGATTTAACTGAACAATCAAGGGTGGAGTAGATTGTTAAGGGGAAGGGGACCAGATGCATTTTTTTCATTCTGGGAACTGAGCCTGTTGGAGCCAAGATGTGGCCCTGTGATTAAGGTTGTCTTTCTAGTTTGAACATGTTTAAAGGTTTTTAGTAACCACCCTTCAAAAACAGAGTCTAAAATCCCTAAAACAAAGGCAAAGCTCAAAATGGAATCATACCAGCTTGGGCCCCAGCTCAGGGTCCACTTCACTGACATGCTAAACAGGTTCCAAAACAGACTGTCCTCCAGGGCCAGGCCTACCCCCTTCCACTGGCCCAAATTGCTCTGAACTTGCCTCTATGTGTCTTTGCCTTTTTATTTCTCTATTCTTAGGAGATCTATGAGCTCTGGTGTGCCTGATTCCTTTCCTAAGATCATCCTCTCTCCCTGTCTAGCTTAAAAGTCCCATTGCTTCTGGACTCTGGCTTCTCCTACTCCCCTCCCAATATTGAATCCAGTATTGGTCATAGAATCTGAAATATGGATACTGGACCTAAGTAATATCGCCTTGTCCTCACCACCATCCTGGTACCTTAATGGGTGGTGAGAGCGGTTCACACACTTCCAAAAGCCTAGAGGTGTGAAATAGATCATTCTTTGAATTGCAGATGTACCATATTGTTTAGCCCCAGGAAAGTCCTGCTTAAGAAAATATACAGATGTGTCATGTTGTTTAGCCCAGGAAAGTTCTGCTCCTTGATTGTTCCCCTAGGTAGTTTGTCTTGCTTCTGTATAACACCCCAATCATGTGGTTTTTGCCTTTATAAGTTTTGTACTGGTTGCATTCAGGGCTGCAGGCCTTTGGAACAGGAGTCCACCTATAGTCACAACTTTCTAATAAAGACTCCCTATTTGGCCTCTAAAAATGTGGCTTTTCTGTATCTCTCTCTCTCACACACACACACACACACACACACACACACACACAAAATCCCATATGACATTTGGAGATCCCAGTGAGATCCTAGAGCCAAGGAGGGCACTTGGGTTTCTTGAAGCCTCACTAGTAAATGGCCACCACAACTCTGAGTTGCCAGAGGATGGGAGACTACATAGGGCACACACCATCTGAGGCTTTTCTCAGGGCCCATTGGCTCTTCCACCACTGATAACCGGGATCATGGATGCCTGATATGCCACTAAATCTTTTTAGAGTCAGTCTTTCTGGAGTCACTCAAGAATCTTCCAAAGATGAGTCTCTGGGGTTTTGTGGGTTTTTCTGTCCTGTTTTCTGATTGTCTGTTTTTCTGTATACTGGGGATCGATCCATTTGGAACTGTTGAGGTAAGGGAGCAGATGGGCTCAAGACGCCCCCCCACACACACAATCAGGCCTTCAAGGTTAAAGAATACAACAGAGAGTTTTGGGTTCTGCTGAGGAAGGAGATCCTGAATCAAGCCTACCCAGTACACTTTGGTTTCTGTGTTTGTCTTTATCTGTCTCATTCTGTTTTCTTAAGGATTGGTACCAGTTTGTAATATGGCTTCTTTGACGCCTAGTTAACCTTGGCAGTTTGGAATTGGTATTTAAAATGCTCTCATTTAAATATTACCAAAGACAGAGTAAGTTCACATAGTGGGTTAAGGGTATAGCTTCAGGTGACCCCCACCCTTCCACTAAGCTTATTCTTCCTCCTCCATCAAAAAAAGTGTTCAAAGGTCAATTCATATGCTAAGGTGCATTGTTAGCCAGGTTGCCTCTCTTTGCAGGCCCTGGAGACCAAGGCCCAGCTAATGTGCCCTGCTAACAAACTCTAAACATTTAGATCTTGGTTATCTGTAAGAGTAAAAGATTCTGTTTGTTAGTTGGCCAAAGTATTTAAGTTTCTCTAACACTGACCACATGATTCTATAGTGCTATGGGCAAAAGTATCTCTTGCTACTGAAATTCCAGAAAACTTATGGCAGATATACATTTTTGCACACTTTAAGACCTTTGTACACAACTCTGTGTGTGTGTGTGTGTGTATGTGTGTGTAAACATGTTCAAGATAATCTGGCATTTTAATGCATAAAACTGTTAGCATCATAATCAAGAGTTATCTGGCTTAACAAAAATATAAATCTCTTGAGGACTTAGGGTTTTTTATTTTATTTCAGTTCTCTCCAGTATTAAATTTTGGGACTAAGTATCATAAATTTAAATATAAAGGTTTTTTTAAATTACTGTCAAAGACATTGTCGGTTTTATCTATCTATATAAAACTGCTATAGTTTTCCATAGGCTGGCCAGGGTTGCCTATCTTCAAGGGATGAGGATGAGCTAGCAGAAAAGTTGCAGTTCATCCAGTCCTAGGTGCCAGCATTGAAGGTGTGGTCCATTTAGTCCAATGGGTGTCTATGCCTATTCCAAAAGTACTTCTGTTTCTCTTTTTCTTTTCCTTACAAATACTGAAAACCGGGCTGGGAAGTTGGCTCAGTGGTAGAGCGCTTGCCTTGCATGTCTGAGGCCCTGGGTTCGATTCCTCAGCACCACATAAGCAAAAAGAAAAAAAAGCCAGAAGTGGCGCTGTGGCTCAAGTGGTAGGGCACTAGCCTTGAGCTGAAGAGCTGAGGGACAGTGCTCAGGCCTAGAGTTCAGGCCTCACAACTGGACCAAAAAAACAAATACTGAAAACCTGATGGTAATGTAGATAATGAGATTGTTCTTTTTAAAAAAAAAAAAAAAAAGGAAAAGCTTTAAAGAAGAGGTTTTACAAGGGAAAAGTTAATCTTCCTGTGAAATGTAGTTTGCTCTCAATATAAGTTAGCACATACAGTACCATGGCATAAAAATGGGACTTTAAATTTCAATTAGACACATTTTATAAATAGCAAAAAAAGATGATCTGAGATTCCTTAAGTTTGTTAAGTATGGACTCTTAGTTCAGTGCTAGTCTGGATGTAATTCTCCTATTCTCCCTGCTTTAAAACCAAATGGGGAATACCAGCTTACAACAAATGTGTCTAAGGGGTATTATCTCACATTAAGAAAAATTATGGGGCTGGGAAGGTGGCTCACTGGTACAGCATTGCCTTGCATGCTTGAGGCCCTGGGTTCGATTCCTCAGCACCACATAAGCAGGAAAAAAAAGCTGGAAGTGGCGTTGTGGCTCAAGTGGTAGAGTGCTAGCCCTGAGCTGAAGTGCTGAGGGACAGCACCCAGGCCCAGAGTTTAGGCCCCACGACCAGACCCCCCCAAAAAAAAGAAAGAAAGAAAAGAAAAACTATGTCATTTGAATTCAAAAGTTTTCTAAGAGCTAATTCAAATTGTATTTTTAAAAACTCAGTAAGGAGATAAGAAAATACAAAGAAAGAGAGAAAATAGTAAAGAAATCCTTAGAAAAGGGAATTGAGAAATCTGTGCAGTTGTAAAAAGTTAAATGTTGTATATAATTCTACTCGTAGCTTTAATGTGTTCCTTGCCTAATGGTTTTTCTTTTTGGTACAAATATGTGGGAAATATTGATTTGTTGTTTTTATATTGTTTCTGTGGTTTGTTACCCTCCCTAATTTCTCATATGCCTTCCTTTCCAGTTTGGAGTAAAAAAAAAAAATTGCTCTTAATGACATCTGATCCTGGAAACCCCTTGGTAAGATAGACTAAGCCTTCAAATCTCTGGCTAGGTAGGGCCAGAGTCCCTACTCAGCTTGTAGCAGTTACATAAGACGGATCTTCGCCCATCAGCTCCTCTTAAGATCAAGGGACTGAAGTCATTGGGCTTTGGGGGAAGAGGGGAATGAGAAAAGGTAGATAAAAAGAGGAATGGGAAAACAGTGGTAATAAGAAAAGAACCCCTTGAGTGTGGAGACTGCACTCATGAGAAATGGTTACAGGCCCAAGCCTTCTATGTCTGCCAAGGAAATCCTAGCCTTATTGGAGGAAATCTGGCTACCAAAAGTTGTTGCCCTGGTACATTGTTTTGGGCATCAAAGGGGAATTCTGGCCAGATGCCAGTGGCTCACACCTCTAACCCTAACTACTCAGGAGGCTGAGATCCGGGGATTTTAGTTCAAAGCCAGCCTGGGCAGTAAAGTCCATGAGACTCTTATCTCCAATTACCTACCAGAAAGCCAGAAGTGGTGGTGCTGTGGCTCAAGTGGTAGAGCACTCACCTTGAGCTGAAGGCCCAGAGTTCAATCCCTACAACTGACCAAAAAAAAAAAAAAAAAAAGAATTCTGTAGTGATAGTAAAAGAAAATCCTACAGCCACTGCCACTATCTGCCTTAAAAACCAGGGGGGCCCTAAAATACTTTATTGACTGTTCTTGACCCTGCCATCCACACCAGTATATTCAGAAGAAGCAACCAGGAGAGCATTGGAGATAGATTTCACTGAAGTCAGGCCCCAGCCTTTGGTTAAGTTAATAATGCTTCTATACTTAAGTCTCTGTAGAACTTACAGGCAACTCAGCAGGAGGTGTATAAATAGGTTCTAGATATGCTGCTACTGCTCAGATCCAGCCCATCCTTTCCAATCTGGAGATTCTGTTTGGGTTAAGAAGTTAATCAAGGGGCTGGGAAGGTGGCTCAGTGGTAGAGCGCTTGCCTTGCATGCCTCAGCACCACATAAGAAAAAAGAAAAAAGCTGGAAGTGGCGCTGTGGCTCAAGTTGTAGAGCGCTAGCCTTGAGCTGAAGAGCTGAGGGACAGCGCCCAGGCCCAGAGTTCAGGCCCCACGACCGGACCCAAAAAAAAAAAAGAAGTTAATCAAGGCCAGGTGCCAGTGGCTCATGCCTATAATCCCAGCTACTCAGGAGGCTGAGATCTGAGGATCACGGTTCAAAACCAGCCCAGGCAGGAAAATCCTTAAGACTCTTATCTCCAATAAACCACTCAGAAAACTGGAAGGGTTGCAGTGGATCAAGTGGTAGAGTGATGGGCTTGAGCTGAAGAGCTGAGGGACAGTGTTCAGGCCCAAAGTTCAAGCCCGATGACCAACAAACAAACAAAACAACAAACAAACAAAAAACAGTGGGGAATGATATATGGACACTGGATCTAAGTAACATTATCTTGTCCTCACCACCATCCTGGCACCTTGATAGATGGTGGGGACTTTTTACTCACTTCCAAAAAGCCTACAGGTATGAAATAGGTCATTCTTTGAATTGCAGCTGTTGTTTAACCCAGGAAAGTCCTGCTCTTTAATTGCTCCCCTAGACAGATTGCCTTGCTTTTTGTTGTTGTTGTTTTCTGATAGTTCTGGGGCTCAAACTCAGGGCCTGGGCGTTGTCCCTGAGCTCCTCTTGCTCTAAGCTAGCACTCTACCACTTGAGCCACAGTACCATTTCCAACTTTTTCTGTTATATGGTACTGAGGATTCTAACCCAGGGCTTCATGCATGCTAGGCAAGCATTCTACCACTAAGCCACATCCCCATTCCCTACCTTGCTTATGTACAACACTTTGTTTCCCAGCCCCAATCTTGTGGCTTTGGCCTTTATCAGCTTTGTGCTGGCTGCATTCAGGGTTGCAGATCTTTGGGACAGGAGTCCCCCTGTAGTCACCAGCTTTCTAATAAAGACTTCAACTTCTCAAGATGTGGCTTCTCTATCTTACAAACAAATTTCCATATAACAGCTCCATACTGTTCCCTCAGATTAAGGATGATCAGAGAAAGTTAAACTTTTTTCTTTTTTTTTTTATCAGTCATGGGGCTTGAACTCTGGGCTTGGGTGCTGTCTCTCAGCTCTTCAGCTCAAGGCTAGCACTCTACCTTGAGCCACAGTGCCACTTCTGGTTTTCTAGTGGTTTATTGGAGATAGTCTCATGGACTTTCCTGTCCGGGCTGGCTTTGAACTCAAATCTCAGCCTCCTGAGTAGCTGGGATTACAGTCATGAGCCACCGGTGCCCGGCTCAAACACTCTTTAGGATTTAAAACTAGTGACATTCTGTAAGCCTGTATCCCAGAACCAGTGTCAAGGAGCAAAGGGTCCCCAGAAAGAGGACTGGAGATGGGGAGTTGTAGAATCACCCCACTAGCTGTTGTGGCAAGAAAGCAAAATCATACCAAGATCACGCTCAAGACAGAAGTTGTTCACAAGCCTAGGGGAAAGACACAGAGACAAACTCACCCCAGAAAGTAAGTTTGGGATGCAACCAGGCCTATCTCTCACCTTCTAAATCCAGATAGATCCAGCAGCTCCCTACCTCTCTCCCCGCCCCTGCTGCCATTTCCTATTGAGAGGCCATCCGCAGGAAAGGGTCTCTTTCCTTTCTTGTAGGTGGGCCCAGAACACAGACAAACCCAGCCCCAGACCTGTGTTGAAAGGATAGAGAGCGAGAAGGTGGGTTCCCCACCTCTGAGGTCTACATGCTCCCCTGCCTTGCTGGCTGAGCACAGCCCTTCTTAGGAGCCTCTTGAAAACCCGAAGCAGCTTCAGGAAGCCTCAGCTCCAGCTGCCAGGCCCCTCTCCTCCCCTGACTCCAGCCTGGGAGCAGCAGCCCTAACTTAATTGTGCAGGGTTAATCATGGTATGTATGGGCAGCCAGAGTAAACAGGAGAGCTGAGGTCCTCTTGGCCTCATCAATCCCTGGCCTAGTCAGCCCTCTGTCAGCACTGGGACCATCAAGTGGCGCCAAGGGAGGAAGGGATTTGCAGGGGGTGGGGGGGAGGCATGGGGCAAGGATTTCTTAAGCTTTAGCAAAATGGCTTTATTACCCCAGTTAGGGTTATCGAGGAAGAGGAAGAGGGTCAAGTGATGCGAATACATTGACAAAGGCAACGGTTGTGAGTCATCTAGACTTGTGGTATGATCTTTGTATAAGTGCCTGAACCTCTCAGGGCCTCAATTTCCTCATTTACAACACAAAAATAGTAATTCTACCTATTCCATGGGGTTTTTAGCCAAAGAAAGAAATTAAATGAGTTAAGACATGTAAAACACCTAGGCAGTGCATTGTGGGTGCCTTGCAAATTTTTGTGAATTACAGGGATGGCAGAGTAAAGGGCCGTTTCTCAGAATATCCTTCTCTATTACAGGTGGCCCAGAGAGCTTTCAGCTAGTTAGTATCCAGGCTGGAAAAGCACAACTCAAAACAAGCGAGTAGGTGGAAGCTGGGTGCTGGTGGCTCACACTGGTAATCCTAGCTACTCAGGAGGCTGAGATCTGAGGATCACAGTTCAAAGCCAGCCTGGGCAAGAAAGTTCATGAGACTCTTATCTCCAATTAACCATCAGAAAATTGGAAGTGGTGCTGTGGTTCAAAGTAGTAGAGTGGTAGCCATGAGCAAAAATGCTCAAGGACAGTGCACAAGTCCCAAGTTCAAGCCCTGTAACTGACAGCGAGAGAGACAGAGAAAGAGAGAGAGAGAGAAAATGGAAGCCAGGGCACCACCCCCCAGCCCTTGAAAGGATGGACTACATTGGGGTGGGAAAGAGAGATGGAGTTAACCTCCCTAGGCCTCTGTTTTTTATCTGGGAAACAGATAAAAATTATCCCTGCATCTTGGAGCTGTTGAAAACATTGAGAGAGTACAGCTGAGAGCTTTAGGAATGCAGTAGCCAGTCCTAAGCCCAATAAAGAGTAGCTAACTACTAGTACCTTCTGAGAACCACCCTGATCACATCTACCAAGGAAAAGCCTGCATTGTAAGGCCTTGAAGGAGTATGTGTCACACCTCTCTCCCTGAAGGGAGTGGGCACTTGACACCGGCAAACCCCAACCCCTATGGGCAGGAAGCTGAGGAGGCCATTAGCAGGCAATGTGAGAGGCCCAGAGGGTCTCCCCAACCTCTAGAGCAGCTGCAGGCCTTAGACAAGAGGAAGACAATGATCACAGGCAGGATGAAGGAGCCAGTGCTGGTGGCTCACACCGATAATCCTTGTTACTCAGGAAGCTGTGATCTGAAGATCACAGTTTGAAGCCAGCTGTTAAGTCTGTGAGACTCTTTTTTTCTTTTTTGGTTGGTCCTGGGGCTTGAATTCTGGACCTGTGCACTGCCCCTGAGCTCTTTAGCTCAAGGCTAGTACTCTACCACTTGAGCCACAGCACCACTTCTGGTTTTCTGGTGGTTAATTGGACATAAAGAGTCCCATGGACTTTCCTGCTCATGCTGGCTTTGAACCAAGATACTCAGATCTCAGTCTCCTGAACAGTTTGGAATTACAGGCATGAGCACCAGTGTCTGGTTCTGTGAAATTCTTATCTCCAATTAACCAGAAGTGTGGCTCAATCTCTAGAGCACTGGTCTTGAGCCCAAAAAGCTCAGGGACAATGCCCAAGCCCTGAGTTCAAACCCCAGGACCAGCACAAATAAATAAATACACAAATAAGTCAACAAAGGCAAGGTGAGTGCAAACAGCTCTGATTCCCACCCAGCAAAGTACTTGCTTCACTTGTGCCAGAGTGAGGGTCTGGCAGACATCTAGGTAGGGGAAAGTGAATTAAGGATACTGAGTCTAACCGGCTCCATCTTGGTCACATGGTAGTGGACTTAGACTCCATTTTGAAGGCCTTTACCAAAAGTATCCATTATGAAGGCCTTTATCGATCTAAGGCCTTTACAGTAGATGATAGGGAATTGGGTTGTTATAACTGGAACCATCTTGTCTTCATGGTAGAGGAAGGTGAAGTCCCACCTCCCTCAGATGATGGGCGTGCCTGAATTCCTACAGGCAGGGGTGAGGGTTTGGACAATAAGTTACTGGACCTGCCAACCTTAGGTCATGAACTCTTAAGCTCCCAGTAACTCTGCCTCCTACCAGGACCTTATTTAGCAACCAGATCAGGTACCAGGACGCCATGTCTCATGTCTCCTGGCTCTCTTCCTGTCACCATTGTACCCCACACATCTCGCCATTGGAGGTGATCTGGTTTCTCAGTATTAGTTTTCTGCTCTTTCTTTCCTCTCCTACTCTCAGTTTTCTAGCTGTGTTGTGTATTCAAGGGGCTGCAGGTCTTGGAGGCAGGAGTCCACCTGCAGGCACCAGCTTTCTAATAAAGACTCCCAATTCCACCTCTCAAAATGTGACTTCCCTGTTTCTCCTGACTGAATTCTCAAACAACAAAAGTAGCTTGAGGAGCATGCTCCGTCCCCTAACTCCTGCTCTGTCTTGCCTGGTGGACCTCCACACGCCAATCTCCACTTTGGTGGGATCCAAGAACAAAACATCCACAGAATCGGCAGGAGGGGAGTGTGAGGAAAGGAAGCAAACGTGGCGGGAGGCAGGGCAGATGGCCCAGGAACCAACCCCATAAGCCACACAGGGTGTCCTGGATGCCAGGACTCGTTGTGCACTGGGTCAAAGAGGAAGCTCTGGGGCACAGACTGAGGCTCAAATGAAAATCCCTACTCCTGAAGTGCCAAGGCCACTTATCCAGCAATCCCACGTGACTGGACCCGAGCCAGAGCCATGACCACCCTGTGTGGAAACCCAATGTCCACTGGGCAAGCAAAATGACCTGAACTCTAAAGTCCTGTCCTCAGAGGACAGGACCCCCCCCCAACACACACACTCACACATACACACAACTGGATCCTGGATCCCAAGTACTTCATCAGCTCACCAGGGACTTAAATGACCAGGATGCTCAGGGATCTCTGCTGCCTCGTGGTCATCCCCCAGTCCCAAATCCCCCTGTGCAAGACCTCCAGGCCCCCATGAAGAGGTAAAGAGCACAAGTAAAAATGAATTGTATCTACCTAGCCCCCAGCCCCCAGCAAGGAGACTGGAAAGCCTCAATTTCCTGTCTCAAGAGGAGGGCTTTAGCCAGGTGCTGGTGGCTCATGCTTGTGATCCTAGCTACTCAGAAGGCTGACATCTGAGGATCGAGGTTCAAAGCCAGCCTGGGCAGTAAAGTCCATGAGACTCTTTATCTCTAATAAACCACTAGAAAACCGGAAGTGGTGCTGTGGCTCAAGTGGTAGAGCACTTGCCTTGAGCTGAAGAGCTGAGGGACAGCACCCAAACCCAGAGTTCAAGCCCCACGACCAACAACAATAAAAAAGCCTCCTGCATAGCTGGGATTATAGGTATGAGCAACCAGCACCCCAGAGTGGGCTCCTCAAGTCTTGCTAGAGCAAGCAGGACTGATCTCCCCCTCTGGCTCTATGTCCTAGGACAGCGGAAGCAGAACTGTGAAATGCCCATGTTCGCTGGTTTGAGTTCCTAATTTGGGTTCAAGCCAAGGCACGGGTTACAAGGGCTGAGAGAGCCCACATGAGTGGCTCATTTCCTCCTCCCAGCTCTGATGCCCTCAGCCCCTACCTGCCTTTGAAAATTACTATCAGATAGATCCCTCCCTTTTCTTGGGACTGCAGGAACAGGATGGTTCAGGCACATGAATCTCCATGATGTCCATAACAATAGTGGCACTTGTTCACAGAAAGATCACCACATAGTTCAGTTCGTAGGAAAGAGTTTATGGGGAGGGGGGAGGGGAGAGCATACTGCCTGCCTGCGGGAGATGGAAGGAGTAGGGGGTATAAGGGATGCAGAGGCCAAGGGCAAGGGTGGAACTAATGATGGAGATTGTCTATATAGGAAGAAGGGAGGGGAAATAGGTGTGGCCAAAGTTAAGGGTGGGGGAAGGAGGTGTGGCTTTAGCAAAGACCTCAGGGCCTCGGGGACCGCCCACTGCCCCCAGGTACTCCAGTACCTGGGTTACACAGGTGCTGGGCACGTACTTCTTGTGCAGGGAGGGAGAACAAGGGAAGGGGCCATTGTGCCCCCCATCTTACCCCCCACCTAACTAAAGTTTGAACTCAGGGCCTTCAACTTGCTAGGCAGGCACTGTACTGCTGAGCCAGGCTTTCAGCCATGCATGGCTCGTGTGTGTGTGTGTGTGTGTGTGTGTGTGTCCATAGTGGCACTTGAACTCAGGGCCTGGGTTCTGTCCCTCAGTTTCTCCCCTCCTCCCATCCCCCAGCACACAACTAGTGCTCTACCACTTGAGCCACAGCACCACTTCCAGCTTTTTGGTGGTTAACAGAAGATGAGAGTCTCACAGACTTTTCTGCCTGGGCTGGCTTCCAACGGTGATCCTCAGGTCTCAGCCTCCTGAGCAGCTAGGACGACAGGGGGGAGCCACCCAGTGACCACGGTTTCTACCTGGCTCTTTTCCAAAGGGTGCTGCTCTACACCACCCCCACCGCGGCCACTGGGAGGCTGAGCACTCCCTGGCCTAGAGCGGGTTCAACTGAGCAAAAGTAAATCTCAATTTGCACCCAGAGCAGCAGCAATGACCTCTCCCCTGCACCCCGAGAGGGACAAGCTTAAATCAAGCCGCCCCAACGTGGCGAACCCCAAGTCCCCTCAGTGGCCTGGAGGACAGAATTAAACATAGCAGCCTGAGAGAGCCCAGCCCCAGAGGGAGACCCAGAGCTGGGGGGGG